TGATGCCATTACACTCTATCCTGGGTGACAGAGTGAGAGCTTGTCTTCAAAAAATTAAAAGAAAGAAATAAGTTCTCAGAATGGGGTTGAATTTCTTCCAATACACACACTCACATGCACATGCACACAAGCACACACCTTCCTCTTCTCCCTTGGTGGTAACTACTGCCCGGAAGTTTGTATATATCTTTCCCATTTAGTTTTATGTTTTACTACATATATGACAGCATGTACAGGATAGTGTAGTTACATATTACATAATTGGTATTATGCCATGCACATCCTTTTGCAATTTGTTTTTTTCTTCAGTCAACATTATTTTCAAGTCTTATCACTGTGGATTCATCTGACTCTGGGTTATTCACTTTAAATGCTGCTTAGCGTTCCCCATTGCATGACTGTGTCATGATTTATTTTCCCGTTCTCTCATTTATAATGATTCTGCTATGCATATTTGTTTCCCAGGTCCCTGTGCTCTTTCTACAGTACACTCCTAGAGCGGATAATGTGAAGTGGATCTGCAGGGCTCTGGGAATGTAAACTATCAGTTTCTCTTGACACTGCAAATTATAGTTCTGATCACTACATGAGACTTCCTATTTCACAACACCTTTGTCAACATCTGACAATATCAGATATAGTTTACATTCTGAGGGGTTTAAATGGCTTTTTCATACCACAGAGACTAAATGGCGTACTGATATGCCATATGGTTCAAAATCCCACTCAATCACTTAATAATAAAAGGACTTGGGCAGATTATTTTACTTCTTTGAGTCAGAGTTTAATTTATCTATAAAATGGGAATAATACTAGTATTATCTCACTGTCAGAAAAATTGGCTTCATCTATAAAAGTCTTTAGAACAGCATCCGAACTTGTTGTATTTTTCCAGAAACTTCTGTGAGAAGAGAAACCACAGTGTGTGAATAATATTACATCTGGACCAGAACTACTTTCTAGTTTTACACTACAAAATTTCTCATACATGTTACCATGCATAAGTTTAATCTGATGAACTGGGAAAAATAGCATTTAAAACACTGTTTTGATGTGAAAACTATGTTTTCGCAAAACCCTTTGAGATAAAGTTATTATAAATGGGAGACCTCCTCTAACGCCTTCCTTCAGCAGTTCTAATAGTCACAACATTTTGTTTTCTTCCAGGTGCCAGTGTGCAGCAGGCTTCACAGGGTCACACTGTGAACTGAACATCAATGAGTGTCAGTCTAACCCATGTAGAAATCAGGCCACCTGTGTAGATGAATTAAACTCATACAGTTGTAAATGTCGGCCAGGATTTTCAGGCAGCAGGTGTGAAACAGGTATATGTCAACACAGTGTTATTAATAGCAATACTAAAAATAGTAATATAATAACATTATCAACTTTTGCCTGCAGCAAGCACTGCCTACATGCCAAAAACTTTGGTAAGTACTTTGTACTTATTCAATCTTCACAGCCATCCAATAAATGAGGTACTATGATTCCCAATAGCACTGATGAGGAAATTGAAGCTTAGACATGGAAGGGGAAAATAAGGAAAACTGAATTTAGCAGAAGTCATCACATTCTACATGTTTAGAAAGGACACTTTGATAAGCCTCTGGACATAGGAGGTGAGAGTCAGTGCTCCACTAATTTCTCAGGAGGCAAGAGTCTTTCAGCTGTAGGATTTTTGCTATATTGAATGCACTGTGCAGATTTGGGGCAGAGCTGAATTGCTTAAGAAATGGGGAAAAGCCAGAGGTCTGAGTAGGAACAGGATATTGCCCCTGCAGTCCCTTCTCCTTCTCTCTGGTGACATCAGTTACCTCCTCTTTACTGAGTCATTCACCTTAGCATGCAGACATGCTTTATTATCTCTAGCTTTAATAAACATTCCAATTCCACCTCTTCTTCCAGCTGCTCCCTATTTCTCTGCTTCCTTTCACTATTGAGTGCTATCTCATATACTTACTGATTATTTTTAAAAATGTAATGTTTATTTTGCAAGTAATATGTATTCAATTTTGAAACTGCTTCTCAGATAATCATACTCACTGAAATGAGCTTCTTTCACCATAGCACTTCTTTCCTGATGTTTACCTTAAATAATGCCTTGCAAGTGCCATGGTCTGCACATGTTTCTTTCTCATTGCAGAACAGTCTACGGGATTTAACCTGGATTTTGAGGTTTCTGGAATCTATGGTTATGTCATGCTAGATGGTGTGCTTCCATCTCTCCAAGCTGTGACCTGTGCATTTTGGATGAAGTCCTCTGACACCACCAACTATGGAACACCAATCTCCTATGCACTGGAGAATGGCAGTGATAATACCTTCCTCCTGACTGATTACAATGGGTAAGCAGAAGTGTCTGAAAGACTGTGCTTAGGAGCTTAGCCTAGCACCAAGTTAGAACTGATGCTGGGGCTGGGGGTTAGGAGTGTCAGGTGGTTCAACAGAACAGCAGCATCATAATGATAAAATAGAGCATCTGGACAAGGTCTGTAAGAAGACAAAGTTTTAGTAAAACACTTCATACATGTGTTGCATTTTGCTGTTTAGTAAGTATTTTCATATGTATTACTTCAATTCATCTTCACAATGACCTGAGGAGTTAGTGTGCATTTCACAGGTAACAAGACAAAGTTTCAGAAAGCTGGCCTAAATGATTTACCCCAAATCCCAGACCCTGGAAGTGGGAGAGCTAATTCTCAAAGTCTGACTCTAAAACCTCTAAAACTTATGCTGTTTCTTTTACATAGCAATATAAAGGTATTTTATACATTAATGTATTTTTGGTGACATTATTGACCCATGAGAAACATGTTATTGAGTATAAATCAGTCTGCAAGCTCAGTGTACAAGACAATACTTTTTTATTTCTTTAGGATCAATTAATTTCAACTCCAGGGTCCCATCTATCAGGGCTGTCAAAAGAGCCAACCTCATTTCTATCCAGAGTTTTGCTAAAGAGGCACAGACTAGAACAGGAGTCCATGGTTGGCCATCTGTCCACACTACTTATCACTCAACCTTGCACTGATTCAGGCTTTGCAGTGTTTTAAATCCTTTCAAGATCACTGTCTTTTACCAAATGTGGAATCCTTGGCAAGACTTCAAGTTAGTACCTTCAATCTGGTTAGATTCTGTGATGGACCCACATGGCCTTTTCCTCTCAAATCCACCAAACTGTTAGCCTGCTAATGAGCATGGGGCAGGTGTCAGAAACCTACTGATGTCTCTTTTCTCTCCTCAGTCTGAAGGAATCTCACTATTCTGGTGGAAATCTCCCCATTTTCAGAAACTATTCCTCTTAGTGGACTTGGGCTCTTGGGAAAAAAAATCCAAAAAGTTTGCAAGAATCCTCTATTAAGGCAAAATATTTATAAATAGAGAACCTGTTATCTCCTTGAATAGCAAGAGAAAAATGGGAAAAGGCAGAAAGAAAACAATATTGTAAAAACTAGTCTTTATAAACATCTTAGAATAGGGTCTAAGAAGATACAGGGAGAGGTACTCAATGCATTTTTAATCTTCCTTCTTAACTTTCCCTAATCATTTCTTTTGCTCTCCATTGGCTTTTGAAGATTTCTCACTTTAAGCTGCCTATTGTATTTAAATCCCTAAGTGACATACATGGTTTTTGGAAACTGCTTTTGGTTGGCCATCCTTGTTTAGTTATAGGTTTTCTTCTCTTTGGTTCAATAAACTTTGCCATTGGATTGCTTTGGCAATTCTCATAGTCTGTTCAGGCTGCTTTAACAAAATAGCACAGAGTAATTGCTTATAAACAATAGAAATGTATTTCTCACAGTTCTGGAGGCTGAGAAGTCCAAGATCAAGGTGTCAGTAGATTTGTTGTCTGGTGAGGGTGCACCTTCTGAGGGTCCCTTCTTGCTGCGTCCTCACATGCTGAAGGGACAACTGGTGAGGGACTGTTTCAGGTCTCTTACTGAGGGCTCCACCTCCCTGACCTAACTGCTTCCCAAAGACCCCACCTCCCAATCACATGATTGATTAGGTTTTGAGAGGACACAAATATTGAGACCTTGGCCACAACCATGAAATGTACTTACTTTCTCTAAGACATCTAAAGTTTGTTCTTGGTCTTAGGAAACTTACATTCTAGAGGAAAGAGGTCATTTCTGACATTTACACAACTCTCGGTCCCATTCTTGACTCACTCACTCCAAAACAGCCATTTGGTAAATTGTCTCAAATTAGAGTAACTTCTCTTGGCTCATTCTAAGATTTTTTTCTTACCCCTCAGTGCTTAAAGAACACAAACCAATGTTCAGGGAGCTACAATAAGGTGTAATTAGTAACTCAAATATGCTGCAATGAAACGTGACCAAACAGAGGGGAAAAAAAGAATCATAGGTTTACACAACGTACTTTACACACACAGAGAGAGAGAGACAAGAAAAATAGTAACGTGCCCCACAGAAAGGATTGCAACATATGACTAATGACTGTGTTCCCTGGAATCTGTCTCTCCACAGCTGGGTTCTTTATGTGAATGGCAAGGAAAAGATAACAGACTGTCCTGCAGTGAATGACGGCAGTTGGCATCATATTGCAATCACTTGGACGAGTTCCAATGGAGCCTGGAAAGTCTACATTGATGGGAAATTATCTGACGGGGGTACAGGCCTCTCTGTTGGCTCCGCCATCCCTGGTATGTCTTAACAAAATGGATATAATTCTGTTAGACTCCAGAGGAGGTGGTGCTTAAATGAACATCAAAGTTTGCTGGCTTTGTTGTCCTTGGTTTTGAACAAAGAGAAACAGTTCTCTCTCTCATTTACTACCCTCTAGTTATCCTAACTATGAGTTATTAAAAGTTTTCTTCCTAAATAAGCTGTGTATGACCCTCTGGATATGAAATGCCTTTGCGGATCTATAGTAAGACTGCCAAGAAGCATGCTGAACTAACAGATGCCTGTAAAACTGTCTTCCAATGAGGAGAGTAATTAATAATTACTGATGGCTTTCGTTTGTTTGTTTTAGAGATTTTTGTTTTGTTTTGTGATCACTGTATTAATACAAGCCGTACTACCACTAATAGCTATTCATCTTTTATATGCCTGTTCAAATAGAATGCAACCTCTCTTCTAAAAATACTTCTTAAAAAATACTCAGAGGGTTTTAGTTGGAAAAAATGCTAAAATATTAGCTGACCCGGGGTTTCTAGCGTTGTACCTAGCAATAAGTTTGCTACATCTACAGAAGTGTGTGTATATCACATTATTTTTCACTTTCCTCATTTGTTTCAGATAGTAGAAAATAGTACCTGGGTAAAATAAACAAATAAAAAATGAATTAAAATATTAGAAATTGACTAATATATTCTGGACTTAAGTTGTATGAAAGTAAAGATAAGTGTACTAATAAGTATAGTACAGAAAATACTAATATTTATAAAAATGTGATAAGGCTACCTTTGCAAAGTTTCAAATCAGATCTTTATTTTATTTTTTAGAAACTATTGTCTGTGCCTTATTTCACTTATTTTCTTCACTAAGAAAATCTATGGGGATCAAACTAATGTTAATTTATTTGTGATTTGAAAGAATACATACTGAGCACCCGCTAGTTGGGTCAGGCACTTATACGAGGCACTGGAAACCCAACGGCCGGCAAAAATCATGTGGTCCCTGCTCCCCAGAAGCTTTCAGAGTGGTGGTGAAGGGATATAGGATACTAACCCTATAATCACACTAAATATTATGTAATTTTATGCTGAGGTAAGCATTATGAATGCCTGTAACCAAGGAGCTGATGCAGAATAAAGAATTAATGAGAGCTTGGAGACATATCCTTGCTGAGTTCCCAGAAATGTCAGGAACTACAAGGTGAAGGGGGCTGGACCTTCTTGAAAGAGCTGAGAGAAGACTGATGCGTCTGGAATGCAGGCTGGCCCAGGAAATGAGGGAATACAGGGTACGCAGCTAGAGAGGGAAGTTGTGACCAAATCATGGAAAGCCCTGCAGGGCAGGTTAAGGATTGAAATTTTGACTCTAAAATCAATAGGAAATCACTGGCAGGTTTTAACTTGGCTGGGGTAAGTGGCAAGAAGGGCAGGACAGGTAGAAAGAAGTAACAGGGCACATGGGAAAAATCCCTAAATAGCAAAGATGTCTCTAACCAGAGCACAAAAGGACGCCCTAGTGAAGGGGCATCACCAAGAGTTAAGAGCAGAACAGTAAGAAGCATCCCTTATGCTTCTCCTGGGAAGAAAACTCAGGGCAAATGAAAAAGAGTAGAGAACCAGTTCTTCTTATTTAAACAACCCCAGAATAATTGAAGAGATGGATGAAACATACATACAGATCCCTAGATGTTTATCCATACACGGAGCATTTGCCAAACTTCAATTTGGCCTGCAAAGTGACCTGTTAGTGTTGAGGTTACAGAAATGACAGCCTCAAAGGGCGGCTCCTACTGAAGAGTCAGGGACATGCGCACCTTGGAGGAGAGGGGACAGAAGGAAGTTCAGGTGGCTCCGTTGATTTAGGTAGCAAGGATGACTTGAAAAGAAATGGACCAGGGAGATGAATTTGGAGAGGGAAAGAGAAACAAACTATAAACAGTAGACTATTGTAAAATGGGAGTATTGGGAGATTAATATTAGGGCAATATCTAACTGGATGATTTTGCTAAATAACTATTAATTCATGTAAAATGCCTTGTTCATAATCCTTTGCTTCTTTGTAAAATATACTTGAACAGGAAGCCACTACAAAAATCAAAGCTTCCTTTTAATTTCATTTATGCCTAATTGACCTTTTAAAACAAGTAACACGTGGACATACATTCACTGAATGTTTTTGTCACAATGATCACGTGAGCCTAATAGACGGCAGTTATTAATCATTGCTGAAGTGAGGAAACAGAGAGGCCCAGAAAAATGAAAAGACCCCCTCAAATTTCATTGCTAGAGTCTAATGCCTGAAACTTAAGGTCATACCCTTTTCCTGGGCTTTTAATGTTTTCTACTTAGATTTGTCTATTAACACATGTCACAGATGGAGCAGGCATGGGACCATTAGAAAATAAAGTGTTGAAGGGAACCCATACGCACTGGGGTATTGAAGACACCTTTAGAATTTAATTCTTACTTGCACTTTGCTCACTCATTTGCCTAGAAACTCTTCATATCTTCCTTCTCCATGAGATTAACTCTTACTCATCAAGATGCATGTCTGAATGCCTTCCCTGATCCCAGCCTTCCCCACTGGAGCTCTCTTTTAGCTCTTCTTCTTCTCTGCACACCTCTGTGGCTGCATTAACTACACTATATTGAAAAGTATTTATGTATAAGGTCTGACAGTTAAGTTCATGAACTCGTCCTAGAAAAAGTGCTACATTCTCATTGCCAAATATCACTATGGTCACCTTCAAAGTACTCCCCTTGGGCAGCTATGCACTGACACCAGTGCCTACTCTACCCTTCTAAGCGATTTGGAACTCTTTTTCTGGAATGACCGTCAGAGTAGTTGTCATGTGCACACAAAAACATGCAAAAACAATGAATGCCACTCAGCAAGACATTGCCACAGCACAAACACAGCTGTCAGACACTGAACAAGTGAGTTGTTTGTACAATGCTGCCGAGGTAAGCACATGGTGTCAAGTTCAAGAACTTAGTTGTCAGATTTCATGTGTATTTTCCCTTAGCATTATAGTCTCTCAAGGGCAGATAAACTTTTAGCTCTATATAAGCCCTATGTCTGGTAATGTAGACAGCACATCATTAGTACCTTCATAAAGATCTGGTCAGAAGAATGGGGAAGGGCATCTCAGGCAGAAGGAGCTCCATGTACAGAGGCAGAGAGCCATAAGTGAGTTTGTTTGCTGAGGAATGATTGGCGTTTCTCCATAGCTGTAACACAGTATATGTGGCAGAGAAACAAAGGATCATATGGTAGAGAAAGAAACTGAAATATAATATGGTGATGGGTTGTAATGAACTTGTTCATGTCCCCTCAAGGAATGTACACTTTCTCCTCAATAAATTGAGAGTCAGTAAAGATATTTCAACAGGAACTGGCATTATCTGGTGAAGTAGGGTAGTTGTTTCTTTTTGGATTTAATTTAGTGTGTTGTGGTATTCAACTACATCTTCTTTGGGTAGTGCAATTAAAGGTAATTTTAATTATCTTCTTTATTTTTTATATTTTCCTAATGAACATGTATTTTCTTTAAGGTTAAAAAAAGGAGTATCTACATATTTAAAAAAATAATAAACCTTGAGGGAAGAGTGAAAAGTAGATTGAAGGAACAGGAATATAAAACCAGAAAACTCTTCACCTCACTTCTCCAACGAGGGAGATGGTTGGCTGACCATAGCAGCAGGGCAGGTGGGATGAATTTGAGCCCATAAATATGGCAGAGCTCCAATTGATAGCCTTAGTGGCTACCTTAGGCTGCTTGGCTTGCCATAAAAAATTTTTATATATATAAATATTATAGACTAGTTGGCTTAAATAATAGAAATCAAATTTCTTCATAGTTCTGGATGTTGGATGTCTGAGATTAGGGTGCCAGTATGTTTGGCTTCTGGTGAGGTTTCTCATCCTAGATTGTGGACAGTTGTCTTCTTACATGGCAGGAGAGAGGCAGCAAGGTGCCAGGTGTCTCTTTATAAGGGCACTAATCCCATCATGAGGGCCCCATCTTCCTGACCTCATCTCAACCTAACTACCTCCCAAAGGCCCCATCTCCAGACCATCACAGCAGAGGTTAGGGCTTCAGTGTATCAATTTGAGGGTGATACAAATCATTCCATAGTAGGGACTGACTGGCTTCAGTTTGAGTGATCAGCATTACTTAAAAGTCTCTTACTAAGATAAGAACTCTAGTAAAATTTGGTGGTGGAAAGGGAAAAAGAGTTTGCATTTTGTTTTAGACATATTAGATTTGAGGTTTCTATTGAATTTCTAGTCCCAGAAATACAATATATATGTGTATATATATATATGTTTATATTTGTATATATATAATATATATATGTTTTTATATATGTCATATAATATATATTTACATATGTTACAAACATATATATAGGTCATATAATATACATATTACATATGTAATATAGTATTACATATACTATATTCTGTTATTTCTTTGGGTAGTGCAATTAAAGGTAATTTTATTCTTTATTTTTTATATAAAGAATATATGTACATATATATGACCTATATATAGTTTGTATTTCTGTATAATATATATATTGTATATATATAAATTATATGACCTATAAAAAATGGTCTGATACTACCTTATATCAAATCAGGAAAGTTGTTTTTAGTGATAGAATACAATTGGCAAGGATTCAGCATGGTGGACGTTTGAATAGAGTGCTGACAGGTATGAAATTTGATAAAACCTTTCTGAGAAGCAATTTCAAAACTTGCATCAAAAGCCTTAGGTGTACTTTTTGCACCCAACTGTCAATTAAACTGCTGAGAATCAATCTGAAGGAAATAATCAATGACCTAAGCAAACATTTGTGTATCACCATGCTTATCTCAATATTATTTTATTACTACCAAACTTAGAAGCTACCCCAATATCCAGTGATAAGGGGCATGAGATCTAAAAATTAAGTTCACAAACTCGTCCTAGAGAAAATGCTTTGAAGGGTGGACTAGCACTGGTATTGACGCATAGCTTCCCAAGGGGAGTACTTAGAAGGTGACTGTAGTGATATTCAGCAATGAGGTATGTAGCACTTTCTCTAGGATGAGTTCACAAACTTCACTGACCTCCTATGGTAACATAACATTGCTAACAAAACTCATAAAATGATAACATGTTCATGGAGAAAAGCAAGATTCAAGTGTCCTGTGCAGTATGAGTTTATGTATTTTTAAATACCTCAGATACCCATATACACGTACTAAGGACATAATAACAATATAAACTTGGCAAGAAATATATAAAACTATTAAATGCTTATGTCTGGGTAAAAGGAATTCTTGATTACTTATTTTTAATCTTCCTCTGTGTATGTATTAATGTTTCAATTAATAATTTTATTTAAAAAACATGTTGAGAAATCATGAAAGAGAGATACTGATTGACAGGCAAGTGAGATGAAATAGGAGAAGGAGTTGGAGGAACAAGAAAGTCACAGGGTAGCATCCTGGGACCAACTTCCCAGAAGCAGGCAGACAAGGGAGGCTAAGAATGAACTGATAGGTTCCAAGAAACCAGCAGAGGATGCTCTGATAGAAACCAAGTGTGACCAGGTCAGGCTCCTGGCAGGAAACAGGTGGCAGAGAAAAGGAGGTAACTAAGGCAACTTGAATAAAGGACTATTTTCAAAGGCGTAAGCGTGGTTAAGAGGACCAAAATATGATAGTAGAACACACGTGACCAGGAGTAATGGAAAGTGGCAGAAGGTGGGCCTGAAGTGACCAAGGGGTAGCAGTCCTTGCCAGAATTATGACAAACCTACAATGATGGAGAGAAATCACCCAAAAGGACCAATGTCACCAGTTGGGAAGGAAACAGCCATTTGCAGTTGTTTGGTTGCATGAAAGGATGGGATCCAGGAGGCCGACCTTTTCTCTCATCCCACTTTCTTATCTCACTCTGGTCCTCCACTGGCCAGACACAAGCAGAAACCAGAGGACAAAGAAGCCAGAGGTACATCTCACAAATGGACAACCTTTGGGTCACAGAGCAGAGCAGAGAAGGGTTGAAGGGAGATTTGGGCACCACAGACGGCACACTCAGGAAGGACTCTCTGTTGAAAAAGATGAGGCAGAGTTGAATGCCCAAGTCTCCACTCCATTGAATTTAGCAATTAGGAGACCACTTTAGAAGATTCCCTAAATTTGATGCTGCAAATTGTAGCATTGTAGCCTAAGAGATTAAAAACAACAAAGAGTGGTCACTTCCATGGACTTACCTAGTTCTGTCAAAATAAAATATCGTATGTATTATATACATGTATATGGGTTTTATAGTGACATATTTATAAATACAATACAATATTCTAAATCCTATCTATCTTTTCTTAATTTCAAATTAATATGCAGGTACAAACTTTTAGGTTACATTATTTTCACTTCTAAGGTAAAGTTCAAGTTTTAGTTGAGCCCTTCATCAGGGGGCATGCTGAACTCCCTCACATTGTGCATGTTAGGTTAGATCCCACCAATTGCCCTCCCTCCTCAACCCTCCCCCTTGCTAGACTATATTTGTGTTTTGTCATTCGTGTAAGTATGTAGTTCTTTATATATTGATTTCATATTAGTATTGGTATTGAGCACACTGGATTTTTTTTTTTCCATTTTTGATGTACTTTACTAAGAAGAATGTAGAAGAATGTGTTTCAACTCCATCCAGATAAATAGAAAACATGTAAAGTCTCCATCTTTTCTATGGCTGAATAGTGCTCCATGGTATACATATGCCACAGTTTGTTAATCCATTCATGGATTGACAGGCATGTGGTTGCTTCCATGACTTGGCAAGTGTGAACTGAACTGCAATAAACACTCTGGTGCAAATATCCTTGTGGGAAAGTGATTTTTGTTCTTCTGGGTAGATAGCTAGTAATGTAATTGCAGGATCAAATGAAAGGTCAACTTTTAGTTCTTTAAGAATTCTACATACTTCTTTCCATAAATGTTGTATTAATTTGCAGTTCCACTAGCAGTGTAGAAGTGTTCCCTTCTCTCCACATTCACACCAACATCTACAGATTTGGGACTTTGTGATGTGGGCCACTCTGACTGGAAAAACCTAGCTATCTTTAAGATGCTATATAAAATACTAAATTTGTCCTTATTGATAAAACATGTAGTAAGTTGACAGAATTTAGCTTTTCAGTAATTTTCTTTTATTTATTTCTATTATCATTCGTATGAGTGTGTAGTTCTTTATATATTGATTTCATATTAGTATTGAGCACATTGGATTTTTTTTTCCCATTCTTGATGTACTTTACTTTTTCAACTCCATCTAGGTAAACATAAAAAATATAAAGTCTCCATCTTTTCTTCTTAGTAAAGTACATCAAGAATGGAAAAAAAAATCCAATGTGCTCGATACTAATATGAAAAAATGGAGACTTTCATTAAGTTAACATTTGGGGAATAATATGTCATCAGGCCAAACTTCCTCCTTTTTCTCTCTCTTTGTCTTTCCGTAGGTGGTGGTGCATTAGTTCTGGGGCAAGAGCAAGACAAAAAAGGAGAGGGATTCAACCCAGCTGAGTCTTTTGTGGGCTCCATAAGCCAGCTCAACCTCTGGGACTATGTCCTGTCTCCACAGCAGGTCAATTCCATTTTCAGTGTATGACAGTAATGAGATGCAAAGGTACAAACCTAGTACAAACGTGAACAGCCTAATGATGACATATCGTATTGCAAGCTCTCGGTTATCAGAACCTATCACCAATGTCATTTGATGCTATGGTCATAGACAAGGTCAGGCAGACGTTATCTACAGTAATCTTCAATGAAAACCCTTTTTAGTTTCTTGGTGACCTTCTTAAATTTTATTGGGAATGATTATTTTGTAAAATCTTGAAATTTCAGAGCTGAGAAGCATCATAAAGAAACTTAGAACTGGCAGAAAATTGTCCACAGAGAGCAACAGATGAGCTAGTGGTTAAGCCAACCAGAATCGAACGGCTGCAGTTGCACCACAAACTTGCTGTGGTGATTTTTAATATGTCACTCCATCTCTTTAAGTTTCAATTTTCTTGTCTATAAATGATAAATAAGTGTGTAGCAGAGTTTTGACAAGATTGAACAAAATAAGACATATATGTTATTGGTACTGTTTGGTCCGTGGTAAATGCTTGATAAATTTTTATTATTACAGTAGCAGAACTTTTCTAAGCTTCAGTTTCCTCTACTCTGTTGGAGGTCAGAGACTTAGAAGGGGAAAGGGAGCCTCCACATCCCTTTAACAAACTGCAAAGCTCTGGACAAAATGATTCTATGCGTAGGATTTCAAACTTGCAGGCAACAATGAGTCTAGTGGGAAAAATATTTGAGAGAGAGAAGGAAAGGGGTGGGAGAGAAGGAGATGGAAGAGAATTTGCCTGTTGCCCCCAGAGTCACACTGGGTAAAAGCCTGCTTCCACCCACCCTGCCTCCAAAAAATCTGTCAATGTTTTCAGTAGGACTAAATGGAGATATAATAACTCCATCTTCATGGAGCAAGTCAGGCTTATCTAAACACATGCTTTTAAACTTTCAGGTGAAATCACTGGCCACCTCCTGCCCAGAGGAACTCAGCAGAGGAAATGTGTTGGCCTGGCCTGATTTCTTGTCAGGAATTGTGGGGAAAGTGAAGATTGATTCCAAGAGCATATTCTGTTCTGGTGAGAATTTCCTTCTACCATAGACTTCATCATCTTTTTCCTACCCTGGGTCTTTCTAGCAAAACACGACAATTTAAAATTCTCGGTTGGTCAAATCAGGTGTGGCTGTCAATCTGCTGTTTAACTAGTGATTCATATTTGAATGTTATTCATCCAAAGTGTGTTATTATTTAATGCTCAAGTATATTCCGTGTAATGGAGTGTTATCATGGGGGAAATTTGGACAAAGGTAAAATAAGATTAGAAAGATAGGCGAGATGAGGAATAAGGTTATCTTTTAAATGCCCACAAGTCCTATGCTCCTGTTCGAGGTGAGGTATTCTTTTGGTTTTATACCTCTTTGCAGCCCCCTAGAAACAGGCAGCAACAGTAAGAAAAGCAACGGGTGTTTCCATCCACACCCTGAATAGTCAAACTCTAAATAATCATAAAATCAAACTTATTTAAACAAGTTTCTTAAAATGTCCTGGAATTTGTGGCTCTTGGTAGCTTGTAAGAAGAACATTTTATTCATATTCCTAAAATACTCTTTGCAAAAATATATTCCACAAGCTTCTGTTGAAAAGGGGAGAGTTGTTTGTTGACTAAGAAGATTTTTTCTAATAATTTTGCTTGGCAGGGATCTGGCTACATGTTAACTTGTGTTAATATCAATAGAACAGCTCTTAAGTGCTGGGACAAGTAACAGTTTGAAACTGTTGACTTGGTGATGCTGCCACCGTGCTGCTGACAAGCTCGGCGCCTGTGTTCTCTGCCTTCAGATTGCCCACCTTTGGAAGGATCAGTACCTCATTTGAGAACTGCATCAGCAGATTTGAAGCCAGGCTCCCAAGTCAGTCTGTTCTGTGATCCAGGCTTCCAGATAGTCGGGAACCCTGTGCAGTCCTGTCTGAATCAAGGACAGTGGACCCAGCCGCTGCCTCAGTGTGAACGTGAGCTGCTTTTGTTTAAGTCATTTCAGTGCTTCTTGAAAAATATTGAAATCCTAAGAACACTTTTCAAGAATTCTAGGCAAAAGCTAAATATATGACAGTAGCCAATATAGCAAATATTCATTGAATCCTTTTGCATAATGAACTGTGCTGGGCACCATGAGGGAGGTGGGGGCTGCTGATCCAAAGAGACCATTTGCACATGTATCCAAGGTGGTACAAATGGCTGAATGTGATTAAAAAAAAAAAAAAAAAAACAGACTCTGTAGGTCAAGGCCCAGAGGTAGATGGGGCATTGCTGGGTGGGAAAACGGGAAATGACCTCTTGAGTTGAATGCATCTATCTTCTTGAGTTGATGTATTTATTATTTTTTATTCAATAATGTTTAAAGTACCTACTATGCACTAGGCACTGCTGTAGGTTCTGGTGATGTGGCAACGTGGGGGAAAATGTCCCTATTTTGTGGAGTTTACATTCTAGTAGGAGATACATAAAAAATAAACAAGTACATAAAACATTATTTATTTGTACTAAATAATAAAGGTAAGGGCTAGCTGTCAATGCTATAAAGAAAAATAAAAAAGGGTGGGGAAATACAACGTGATACAAAGTGGAGTGGTTGCATGGAAGCAAGACTGTGATTTTAGACAGGGAGTAGCCCCTGTTACAACCTGACACACGTTCACTTGGGGTTTTGTCCATCTACCGCACTCGATAATTAGCTCCACAAGGCAGGGATGCTGCCTGTTTGGTTCAGGTCCGTAATTCCAGCACCTTGGACAGTGTCTATGCAGGTAGTAGGCCTTCCGTAAACGTTTCTGAATAAACAAATTGCCTAAGCCAGGCAATGCGCTAGATCCTGAGGGTCAGGCTGCTACCACCAGCCCGAAGCACTGGGTTGAGCACTTTCAACCCACTGTTGTGTGCAATAAACAATTCATTTCTAACTGAACTATTGTTTTAATATAAATCAATGCCCTTTGAGTATTTTGCTCCTAATGTAGTTGCGTCCCTCCTGGTCATATGACAGGCATCAGCTGTGGGGTGCCACCTGCTTTGGAGAATGGCTTTTATTCAGCTGAGGACTTCCACGCTGGCAGCACAGTGACCTACCAGTGCAATAATGGCTACTATTTATTGGGCGATTCCAGGATGTTCTGTACAGATAACGGGAGCTGGAACGGCATCTCACCAGCATGCCTTGGTGAGATAAATATTGACAGTTACGATGTGGGTTTATTCTGTCTCTATAGAAGACATTCATCCCAAATTCCTGAGGCTCTGGAGGCATTCTTTGGTTAATTCATCTCCCCGCAGTGAGCTCTGTCCAAGGCACAGTAACAAAGTAATTCTACATAGAGGGGCCAGAAGTGCTTTAGATTTTTCTTAGTCTCAGTATGAAGACTGTTTTGTCTTTTCTGTTCTTCTACTAAGCTACCTATAAACTAGGGAAATAGTAGCTTTTGGTGTGTATTTGCAATGTGATTATGACTATGGTATTTAAATTTGATAAAGCATATGTGTTATGCAGTGCAATATGTCATAATTTAAAAGTAAAAGCAGGTGGTAGGTACATTAGGAAAATGAATCCACTTTAACATTTGTAAGCTGTCTTCGCTGCAGATGTCGACGAGTGTGCAGTTGGATCCGATTGCAGTGAGCATGCATCGTGCCTGAACACCAATGGATCCTACATATGCTCCTGCATCCCGCCATACACAGGGGACGGGAAAAACTGTGCAGGTAACCCCTCCAGTACACCTGGAAATTCCTATTTCGATTTCTTTATTCAAGGGTATATTTTAAGTGTGTTGTTTTAAAATAAGACAATAGTTTCGACTTCAAAGGGCACATAGCCGGGTGGAGAAGGTAAAAACCTCATAAAGATACATAAGAAACAACTAAAGGGGCTTTAACATAGCCGTATGCCTCTGCCATGTTCCTAATTCCTCAGAAACAAACTGAAAGCTAACTGTACCATGAGAATAATAGAATGGATTTGGAAATATCATCAGTGACCTCTCTGCAAAGAAGAAGCTTTACATATCAGTATCTTTTCTCTGCCTCAGTCAAATCGTGTCATATCATTGAAAAAATACAGCACACCTCTTGGGTGCAGGACACAACTACAAGAGGAACTCTACAAATGCCAATATTGTAATATCCAGTTGTGTTTGCCTTCACATTTATCTGGAAAAAAATTGCTTAGAAAACAGTAGACACCTTGCCTTACAGCATCTTATATTTTTAACTAACTTTGATAACATCAGCCTAGCTCCCAACCCATTGATGTCTTTCCACATTTATTGTGGGAAGTAACCACCAGAAAACAGTAAGACAGAAAGTGAAGAGGAATTTAAAATAGTGAACCAAATCGTCTGGCTGTGGGTCCCCAAAGTTAAGTGCTGACATGTTGAGAGTCCCAGGAGTGATCCATGATGGAGAGACGTGTTTCCCATCCACTCAAAGGGAGAGTGACAGGGAGAATAAAAGCAATAGCAATAAAAAAAGTATAGTGTCAGTGAGTCAGACAATAGAAATCAGAACGGGAAACCTCTAAATTAAACAGAATGTTTATGCGTCCATCCTCCTATTCTCCAACCAAACAGTTGTGTACTATTCAAGAATGAGTCACAAGCCTTGCTTAGCAAAATATCTGATTTGGAAATATTTCTTCTCTTGTGAAATTAAACAAGGCTAAAAATATTGCAAAATCATTTCTGCTCAAAAAGAAGGAAGAATAAAACTGAAGTCAGAACGTGGCACTTAAAATGAGATAATACAGGAATCAAAAGAAAATGTCAGAAGACTTCTTGGATGAAACAGGAGATGATGTAATTTTTATTACAGATTTTTGAAAAGCAAAGCCATCCAGAGAAAAGGTGCTGAGATTAAAACAGAGCAGAAAGAAAGGCAAACACTTCAGATAGTGAGCTGTGCAACTCACCTGAGGGTCTGGCCACAATAGATAGTCTAAATTTGAGTTCAAACTGCATGCAAATGTCATAACTTAGTGTTGAAATATAAGGTCAGTGATGTATTAACAAATTTACATTAGCAGAGATGCACGTGTGGGAATGGTAAGAGTTTATGATGGACTCAGAGAGTACAATTTCAATCTGTATGTGGACACAGTCAAATAAAATTCAATTTAAAGAATGTCTTCAAAGAGTCTCGAATTCCTTAGGGAAATATGCAAAATATTATAGCAGAAGAAAAAGTTGAAATCATCTGTAATCACACTGTCCAGAAACACCTGCTATTAAAAAAGGTATAACTTGAACACCTAGAATATTTTTCTGTGTGCTATCTAGTACTTATAAATATGTGTACACATATAGATATCTATGTAAGTGCTGTATACACAGTCTTTTAGTTACATCACGAAATATTATATTGTGCACATTTTTATGTCATGAAATAGTCTGAGAACATGATTTATTATTGCTACACAAAATTATAAGTATGGAGTACATGTGCTATTTTGACACGTATAGGAAGTAGAATGGTCAAATCAGAGTAATCAGGATATCCGTGACCTCAAACAGTTATCATTTCGTTGTGCAGAAACATTTAAAATCTTCTCTGCGAGGTATTTTGAAATATACAATACATTATATTTAACTAAGGTGACCCTGCTGTGCTCTCCAATACTAGAACTTGTTCCTGCCGTAACTGTATGTTCTTCTAACTGTGTGTGTTCATACTCGTTAACTAACCTCTTTCCGTCTCCTTTTCCTCTCCTCCACCTCCCCAGCCTCTGGGAACTACCGTTCTACTCTCCGCCTCCATGGTACTTTTTTAGCTCCCACATCTCAGTGAGAACCTGAGATATTCATCTTCTGTGCCTGGCTGATTTCAGTTGACATAACGTCCTCCAGTTCTGTCTGTGCTGCTGCGAATGGCAGGATTTTGTTTCTTTGTACGGCTTAGCAATATTCCATTGTGTATATTTACCATCTTCTCTTTATCCATTCATCCATTGATGGACAGTTAGGTTGATTCCATGTCTTTCTTGACTATGGTTAATGGTACCGCCATAAACATAGGGATATCTCTGGATGCACGGATTTTCCTTCCTTCGGATAAATGCCCAGTGGTAGGATTGCTGGATCCTATGGAAACATGATTCTAATTCCCGTTTCATAATTCACTTTATAGTTTTCCCATAGTTAACTTTTCTCTATATGTTAACATTAGGTAGTATCTACTATGAAAAAAAGAATTTAATATGCATCTTTGGACAAAGCTTATTTCTGGCCATTTTTCTCAAAATCAAGTCTTACAATTGCATTTACTTTTTGAGAAGGGTTCTTTTAAACTCCTTGACTTAGGTAGACCAGGTGGCCTTTAGAAAGAGTGAATCAATATATATTGTCTCCCCATTTAAGGATGGAGTGATGTACTCACTCTTCTTGCTCAACATTGGCCACAAAACTCGCTTTACCAGTTTTACCTTCCCAACAGCGGTGCTGACCCCGAATTTGTGCACAGGAGGTGCTCAGGGCCCACAGTCTTTTGGAAGCTGGGAACTCCCCCTGCATCTGCTCTGTACGGCCGTTCACACCATTGAGACCCAGACAATTGCTCTTTTAAAAATAGTATGAGGCTGGGGGTAGGTGAGGGGGCAGAAACTCTTCTAAGCCATGCTCTGGCATCACCAGGATTTCCCCAATGAACAACTACCTTTGGGGCCAGATAAACTTTGCGTATTTTTGTTAGTCATTGCCATTTCAAAATACTCCTTTCGATGCCTATTATATGTTCTGTTCTAATGTTCAGCAGGCCTCTGACCTTCATATATCTCCTTTCAAAAGCTTTTCACTGGATTTTAATGGGTACCTTAGCTGTAGTATAATTCTTCACTGTGAAATTTTACATGGTTGTATGAAAGCCACCTATTATTCCACCCAAACTGGTTTTTCATTTCTAGAACCTATAAAATGTAAGGCTCCAGGAAATCCAGAAAACGGCCACTCTTTCGGCGAGATTTATACAGTGGGTGCCGAGGTCACATTTTCCTGTGAGGAAGGATACCAATTGATGGGGGTAACTAAAATTACGTGTTTGGAGTCTGGAGAATGGAATCATCTAATTCCATATTGTGAAGGTATGTTTAGGACATTTCCCATGCTTATTGGGTGTGGAAATCTTAGGGCAATAAGGTGCAGACACATCGGTGTTACGTTGTATCAACGTTGTTTGTTTTGGAAAGGCAATCATTAGGCTTCCATTGAAACATGATTTTAAAAAATCTAGAGCTGCCCCTTGAGCTTTCAGAGACATTTGCACCCATAATCTCAGAAAAGACTTTGTTTTTCCTCCTTTAAGCTATTTCCTGTGGTGCACCAGCTATCCCAGAAAATGGTGGCATTGAGGGGTCAACATTCACCTATGGCAGTAAAGTGCTATATAGGTAAGTGTCCCTCTGGGAGGCTGAGGTGGGTGGATTCCCTGAGCAATAGCGAGACCTCTATCTCTAAAAATAGCCGGGCATTGGGGCAGCTGCCTGTAGTCCCAGCTACTCAGGAAGCTGAGGCAAGAGAATTACTTGAGCCCAAGAGTTTGAGGTTGCTGTGGGCTATGATATCACAGCACTCCACCAAGGGTGACAAAGTGAGACTTTGTCTCAAAAAGCAAACAAACCTATGTTGAAGTTATTAATGACATGCTGGCAGAGACATAATAATGGAAGAAAGAGGATGGGGGAAAAATCCCTAGATTTTTTTTTTT